TCTAGGCCCGAAACGTCAGCCTTCCTGCTCCTATGATGCTGCTTGGCCTGCTGTGTTCATCCAGCTCCACACCTTGTTATCTCAGATTCTCCAACATCTGCAGTTCCTACTATCTCAGGCTAATTATTAAGTTGGCCCTTATTTCAAGGGGTTGGGGTGGAATATACGAGTAGGGAAGTCTTACGCAACAGTACAAGGTGCTGGTGAGACCACATCTGGAGTATTGTGAGCAGTTTTGATCCTCTTGTTTAAGGAAAGTTATCATTTCATTGGAGGCAGTTCAGAGAAGGCTCACTAAGATGATCCCTGGAATGGAAGGGTTATCTTCTGAGTAAAGGCTAAACAGGTTGGGACTCTACTCACTGGCGATTAGAAGAATGAGAGGTGAGAGGTGTAATCTCATTGAAACATATCGGATTCTTAAGGGGCTTGACAGGGTAAATGCTGACTGTTGCCCCTCATGGGACAGTGAAGGACCAGAGGGTGTAGTTTCAGGGTAAAGGGTCGCCAATTTAAGACTGAGATAAGGAGGGGTTTCTTCTTTCAGAGGGTCAGAGTCATTGGAATTCCTTGTCAGAGTCCTCTGGGGACAGAATCCTTATATATATTTAAGGCTGTGACAGAGAGATTCTTGATCAGTCGGGATCAGCAAAGGTTATGGGGAAAGGGCAGGAAAGTGGGCGGGAGGAATGTTAGATCAGCCATAATCCTACTGAATGGTGGAACAGGCTTGAGGGGCCGCATGGCTGCCCCTGTTCCTATTTCTAATGATCTTACGGAATTTTTTTTTTAACATATACTCAGTGACTTTGCCTCCGCAGCCTTCTGAGGTTTTCACATGTTCGCCACCTTTTGAATGAAGAAATTTCTCCTCATGTCAGCTGTAAATGGCTTACCATGCATCCTGAGGCTGCGAGCCCTTGTTCTGGACCCCAGACAAGGGAACATCAGACTGTACAACAGCCCTATCAGAGTTTGATATGGTTTACTGAGGTTCCTGCTCACTCTTCCAAACCCCAGTGAATACAGTTGGCCCAATCTCTCCTCACATGACAAATCCATCTTTCTATAAACTGTCTGATGAACCTTCGCTGCACTCCCCCTGCGCTAAGTATATCTTTACTTACGTGAGGAGAACACAACTGCACACAACTTTACAGGGTCCTATCAAGAGCCTGTAGAGGTACAGTAAGACTCCCTTGTTCCTGTACTCAACCCTCTTGCAATGAAAGCCAACATCCCGTTTGCCTTCCTAACTGCCTGCTGCACCTGCATGATTACTTTTGACAGACAAGGCCATCCAGATCCCTTTGTACATCAACCTTTCTCAATCTATCACCGTTTCAATAACACTCTGCCATTCTGGTTTTTCTACCGATGTAGATGACTTTACATTCATCCACATTTGGAGTCTTTTTCAGGATGGCAGCCAGTGACTAGTGGAGGTCAGCAAGGTTCAATGTTGGGACCACAGTTATTGGTCTTGTAGATCAACGATCTGGATGAAGGTACTGAGGGCATTGTTGCTAAGTTTGCAGAGGATAGGTGGAGGGACAGGTAATATTGGGGAAGCGGGGAAGCTGCTGAAGGACTTGGACAGGCTGGGAAAGTGAGCAAAGAAATGTCAGATGGAATACAATGTTGGAATGTGTGGGGTTATGCACTTTGCTGGGAAGAGTAGAGGCGTAGACTATTTTCTAAACGGGGAGAGGCTTCAGAAATCCTGAAGCACAAAAGGACTTTTGAGTCCCAGTTCAGGATTCTCTTAAGTTTTACATGCAGGTTCGGTTGGCAGTTAGGGAGGCAAATGCACTGTATAACATTCATTTTAAGAGAGCTAGAATACAAGAGCAGGGATGTACTCCTGAGGCTGTATAAGGCTGTGGTCAGACTGCATTTGGAATATTGTGAGCAGTTTTGGGCCCTGTATCTAAGGAAGGATGTGCTGGCGTAGGTGGGGATCCAGAGGAGGTTTTACAAGAATGATCCCAGGGATGAAGGGCTTGTCATTATGAGGAGCGGTTGAGGACTCTGGGCCTGTACTTGATTGAGTTTCAAAGATTGAGGGGGGATCTGATTGAAACTTACAGAACACTGAGAGGCCTGGATAAAGTGGACGTGGAGAAGATGTTTCCACTAGCAGGAGAGACTACGATCTGATATCACAGCCTCAGAGTGAAGGGACAACTTTAGGACTGCGATGAGGAGGAATTACTTCAGCCAGAGGGTGATTAATGTGTGGAACTCATTGCTGCAGACGGCTGTGGAGGCCAAATCATTGAATGTATTTAAGATAGACAGGTTGTTGATTGGTAAGGGGATCAAGGCTTATGGGGAGAAGGCAGGAGAATGGATTTGAGAATCACATCAGCCATGATTGAATGGCAGAGCAGACTGGATGGGCAAAATGGTCTGATTCTGCTCCTGTATCTATGATCTTATGGTTATACAGCATCTACCAGGTATTTTCCCACTTGTCTAACTTGTCCTGAAGCTTCTTTATGTCCATCCCTACTCATACTTCCACCTAGTTTTGTGTCTGCAGCAAACTTGAAAATACTACACTCAATGACTTTCAGGAGATTGATGTTTTGCTGTGTTAGTGGAAGATTTTGATGATTTGAACAGTTTTTAGAGACGTGGTTCTGACTTCAAGAGCTATGCTCTGATCACTTCTGTTGTCCAAATCTACGAGAATATTTGCAGACCCATGGAGTTTGCAAGCTGCTGCTTCCAAAGGTAACGTGAATGACATGTTGCGATCCCTTGTGTCCATTACAACTATCTAATTTTACCCTGGTGACCTGTTCCTCTCAAACCTGCTACACTTTGTCTTTGACTCCACTTCCATCCCTTTTACTGCCCTACATGAATTGTGCTGGTCTCTGGACACAGTGCAGGACCTTGCTGGGTTGGTACCACACTATGAAAAGTGAGCTAATGAAACATGAACAAAGCTAATCCAACAGAATCTGCGCTTACCTTCAAAGTCAACACGCCCATCCCCATTCAGATCAACATCTTTCAGGATTTCCTCAATATCCCTGTGTCCAATCTGCTGACCCAGTAATTTCTTCATAGCTTCACGCAGTTCGGTCGTGCTGATCTCTCCATCCCCATTTGTATCAAACTGTATTTAATGAATACCGTTGAGTCTGAGTTTAGAACATTTATTAACAGGATTTGGCTACTGCAGGTACTTCAACACACCAAGTCATTCTGAAATTCCACATGCACACTCCTTTCAAATTTTAACTTTTATCTGTGGTACAAGGGACAGCACCCTGACCAATCAGAAGTTGTGGTACAAGGAGCAGCACTCTGACCAATCAGAAGTTGTGGTACAAGGAGCAGCACTCTGACCAATCAGAAGCTGTAGTACAAGGAGCAGCACTCTGACCAATCAGAAGTTGTGGTACAAGGAGCAGCACTCTGACCAATCAGAAGCTGTAGTACAAGAGGCAGCACCCTGACCATTCAGAAGCTGTAGTACAAGGGGCAGCAGCCTGACCAATCAGAAGCTGTGGTCCAAGGGGCAGCAGCCTGACCAATCAGAAGCTGTGGTCCAAGGGGCAGCAGCCTGACCAATCAGAAGATTATTGGATCTGGTCCCAGTCCCAGGACTTGAGTATATAGTCTACAGCAGGTTAATATATGGAGTGAGTACAGAATCTTAGAATCCCTACACTGTGGAAACAGGCCCTTCAGCCCAACAAGTCCACACCAAACCCTAGAGTATCCCACCCAGACTCATCCCCTTGTAACCCACCTAATCTACACCTCCATGAACACTATGTAATGTAGTAGACCCAGTTCAGTTTCTAGTCAATGGTAACCTGAAGGATATTTGCAGTGCTAATTTGGCAGTGTTAATGCCATTAAATAACAAGGGAAGGAAATTAGATTCCCTCTTCTTGGAGGTAGTTATTGCAAGGCACTTGTGGCACAAATATCATTGACTGATGTCATGGACAAATGGCAAATAGGGGTGAATTTGAATTGTGATTGCTTTTCCCCTTCTAAGTCCAAAACAGTGAGATTTTCATTGATTAATCCTTTTTATTTTGAATTCTATCCCTTGCTGACGTAGCTTAAAGTGTGTTCCCAAACCCAGACTTTCAGATTACAATTTTGACATAAACCCACACCAAAACGCTTTAACATGAAATTAAAGATAAGACTTTTAAGAAGAAAAACATTCAGAATGTAGCAAGTTGTTTCTCTACTCTCAGGGGCATGCGGGAAATTAAGGAAGATAAGATAGGAGAGGAAACACTTTGAATTATGAATTTTGGTAACCCCAGAGGTATTAATAACCAGTTTCTTCAGGACCAGTGGTTGCTCTTTCTTTCAAGACAAGTATAGGCTTCTTTCTAGCCAACAACTTGGAGACACAACCTGAGGCTCCAAGGCAAGCTGCCAACTCAATGTGGAGTCAAACATCCACTCACTTAGAATCCCAGAATTCTATATTTAAGCAATTCAACAAACCTAGATTTCAGACATGTGACAAAGACCAGCAGTTTGGGTGCTCATGGACCAATTCAGTGGGCTAATTGGAAAGTAATTAAACTAACAGTGTAGCTATCCCTCCACCATTAGGGTTTTCATTACAAGGTGACAATGTGCTTGGAAAAACATTACCATTTGCTTTAGCATAATCTGTCATGATGTTCTTCCAAAACTGGCTTGAAACAGATGACTCATCTCTAGCCTCTTTGTGTCAGATATAGCTGGAATGTCTTAATTCAGAAGCTCCAGGAAATGTGATCATGTGCTCAGCCTTGGTCATTTTATAAGTTCAGCAAGGTTGTCTTTTTAAAAAGAAATAGAAATGAAATAGTAGAGGATACAATTTTCTTTGGATTTCTCTCTGTGCTCTCTGGCCATTACACTGGGTGTAATCTAGGTGTATGCATGCAGGCACAGGCTGCTTCGTCATCTGAAAAATTATGAATGTGTAATCATTGGGCCTTCACCAGTGAATATTATCACTTCTGACCTTTATGTTGAAAGGCAGAGCAGAAAGGAAGCATTGGAAGATGACTAGCTGATGCTATTACTCTGAGGAACTCCCACAGCAACATGCTGAAGCTGAACATATCTGACTCTAATAAACATAAGCACTTTTCTTTGTGTATAACTCCAACAAGTGAAGAACTGTTCCCTGATTTAGGCTGACTTCAGACTTGCTCTGTAATTCCTCTGACTACACCCATGAAGATTTGGAAAATTTTAATCAAATCTCCACTGAAAGTTACCTTCTCTAAGGTGAATAACATAAGCTTCTCCAATCTATCCATGTTACTGAAATTCCTCAAGCCTGGAACCATTCTTATTAGTCTTTGTTGTACCCTCTTGAAAGCTATAACATTTGGCACTTACAGAGCTCCTGTCTTTCAGATGTGACCTTAAACTGAGGTGATATCTGCTCTCTCATGTGAAGACCAAATATCCCACAAGGTGAATTTTATTGGTTGCGGTTAAGGGGAGGGGTTTCCTGCCCTGCTACCCACAGAGTTAGTGGGGAACACACACTGGGAAGTAAATTAATGCTCTGAGGCATGAGGCATGGTTTGCGTCCCTGACCCAGGAGGACATTGTGCCTCAGAGAGAGACTGGGCTGCCTCACAACCTGATGCTCCTGCTGAAGCTGCAAAGCTGTCTGCAGATGACAGGGGAAGGTGGGGGAGGTGGGGGAGGTGGGGGGGGGGGGGGGGGGGTTCAGTAATGGAGGGCTCCTCGTCCTCCTGCTGGTTGGAAAATTGCGGTCAAGTGGGGAAAAAGCTCCCTTATAGGCCTGCATTGAGGTGGCACTGAGCATTTGGGGGACCATGAATGCCACCCCATTGCACTATTTTGAACAAGAACACCCCAGAGGCCTGGCTAATGTATTTGTTCCTCGACCTGTAACAGAGGATCTGGATGAGATCACATGGCTGCACGTGGGATCTTCCTGTGCACAGACTGGTAGCAGTCTTTCCTCCTTTGCAATAGTTGCTACACATCAAAAAACACTGTGTAGATTGTAGCACGCTTTGGGACATCCCAAAGGGTGCAATATAAATGCAGACCTCTCTTTTCTTCATTTCCAGCACTCGCTCGTGTTATGGAGCTATGGCTCATTTCAAACATGGGGACAACTTTCTTGGGGTTGGGGGTGGGGTGGTGTCGACCCTCACTTTGTGGGTGATGCTTCATCCGTACTCAGCACCTTAAACCATGGCAGGACTGAGTTCACGTAAAGTTGAAAGAGAAGCTGTCCCTGTGTCAGAATCTGAGGGAACGTCACACTGCAGGTCCAAACTTCATCCTCACCCTCCATTCCAGCAGGTGTTAGAAAGAATGGCAACACTGGATTAACAAATTGCAGAGTGTGACAGTACAGGACAGTGATGGGGAGTTTAACCTCTCAAACTGGGAAGCTTTCACCGTGACGTTGCTGCTTTGTTTTGACCTCAGTCTCGAGATGCATTGTGGGTGGGGCAGCTCAGTGGTTAGCACTGCTGCCTCACGGCGCCAGGGACCCGGGTTCGATTCCATCCTCGGGCGACTGTCTGTGTGGAAATTGCACGTTCTCCCTGTGTCTGCATGGGTTTCCTCCCACAGTCCAAAGATGTGCGGGTCAGGTGGATTGACCACGCTAAATTGTCTGTAATGTCCAGGGATGTGCAGACGACAGGTTGAATAACCACAGTAAAAATGGGGATACGCGAGTCTGGGTGGGATGCTCTTTGGAGGATGGGTGCAGACCCGATGGCCTGAATGGCCTCTTTCTGCACTGTAGGGACTCCAGGATGTTATCATTATTTGGCCCGCTCATGTGGAGGAAATGTAAACTCATCCCTGGCATAGCCTGTTCCAAAGTGGCTTTGCCCAGTGAGTGCTGGGGCCTTGTAGGAATGACTCTGGTCTTGTCCTTAGCCACCATCCATCCACATGCATCTTATGGTAACCAGGAATGGGAGTTCTGACTGACATTTCTCCTCCTAAACACAAAGACCAATGACTTGGCATACACTCAACAGGGTGAATGTGGCACTATCCTGTGCCAGCGTGTGACTGTGTTTCACACTTAGCAATACACCTGCCCACTGGTGACAGAACAGCTAGTTCTGTGGTCCCAGAGATCCCCCTCTGTGTAATGAATGGACTTTGCCCCAAGTTCACAGGAATGAATGGAGATTGCGGAAGGTCCCATGGTAATCCCAATTCTGGCTATTTCACAATTGTTGAAACAGTCACCTCTTTGAAAGCGTCTCGAAGCTCTTTCACTCCAATCATGTCGGCTGTCTCTGCTAAAAGCTTTGGTCCCATCAGTTCCAAAAAGTCATCAAAATCAACATGGCCACCCACTGAAAATAAAGCACAAGGAAGCAAGAAGCCAAGTGAGCTCATTTTGCAGCAAAGGATTCAGCACGTTCAGTACTGAATAAACAATAACACGACACCCCAGAAAATCCTGCTTCTGACTGGAGAAGACAAGTGCTCAGTAGCTTGGCATTGAGTGATTTCAATGGAAGCTGCATTGCTGTTTAAATTAAACAGGATAGCATCTATGGTCAAAGACACCCACTCCGCAATGTCACCCACTCCGCAACGTCACCCACTCCGCAACGTCACCCACTCCC